TTTACCTGGAATAAAGGTCAAAAGCTGATTTGGGGGAGAGAGGCAAGTGGCAGAGTAGAGCCAGAACAGTATATTCCAGGATGGAAATGGAGGTAGACCAGCAGGACAGAACACGGACCATCAGAGCTTGGTCACTTGAATGTGTAGAAGATCCTGCCATATAAGTTGAGATATCTAGAAATATATAAATGCAAAATATGATGAGGGTGGCAGGGAATTTTATCCGTTTTGTTCACTGATCCATTCCTGGAACAGTGGTGGCACACAGTAGGTTTTAATAAATCTTAGTTGAATAAACGACTGAATTTATTGATAATACTTGACAGAACGTATCTGGGTAAAAGAGCAAAATTACTGGAAAAAAGATCGAGAAGAAGGAAATATTATTTTAATTTTAATTTTGAAAGATAGTGTTATGGACTTTGCTTAGACATGAAGATCTAGGACAGAGAATGAGTCCCAAGGAAATGACTTTTTGAAATAATAATACACAGAATGTGAATACAGCCCAAGAGCCCACAGTTTATCGACACATCTTCCCTTGTCTGTTACGTCAATGCAGAGTATTGAGTATATTTAATCTGAAAGGCACAGAACAACCCAGAATATCTTCCTCTGCAGCCTCATGTGTGTCAATAGACTTTGGCTTTAATCCTTAGTTTTGTATTTTAGCACACAAGGCCTGTTAGGAGACATTTGGCCACATGCAAACAAAGGCTTACCTGTTTCACTGCTACCTGAATATTAGGAATTATAAACATTGATAGTAATCCACATTTCTTTAACCCTTTACATTTACAAATATTCTTCATTTTTATTACTTTATTTGCCTGTTGGAAAAACTCTCTATTTAGGCAAGACTGAGGTGCTTTATAGATGAGTAACGAATACTTAGGGAGCTTACAGGATTTACTCTGGACAACCTGATTAGAGGCTGAGCTGGGACTAGAATTGAGTGTGCCCAACCCACACCAGCATTCTTCCCAGTACCCTGCTCAGACAGATCTCCAACCACAGTTGAGTCACATGTGAGAGTATGGCTATGGCTCGTGGTGCACAAACTTTCAGTCTGGTGATTTAAACGCCAGTTGGCTTCAGTGCAGAGCTTCAGCCCAGTGACCCAGTGCTGAGTCTCAGAGTACGTTGTGGAAATCTGGGTATGAATCCTGAGGCAAACATCGCCCTTTTCCAGAACAGTAGGCACTGGCATCCCTTAGTGTGCATTTTGTCCAGCGAAAGTAATTGCTCTGAGGTCAAGACAGAGCGTCTAAGCCGTAGACTTCTACTGGCTTTCTTTCATAGCACTGGTTCCGGGTAAGATCATCGGGAAACACCAAGCAATTCACCTGTAGATGAACAGTATAAAAAACTGCAAGTAGCCACTCCAAAATTGCTTTATAAAGGACTTTAAAAAATACTATGATACAAAAATAAATCCATTTTTCTATCCTTCCGTTACATATCACAGAAAGCTGATTCAGTCTGGTTTTATAAAGGAAAGTGCATTTTATCCTCTACTGGGGGGCTTGGTTTGTAGTTCTTTGCCAGCCATGCGATTTTGATCGAGGCACATGTTTTCCTGCACCTCAGTTTCCTTATAAGTTAGAAAAAGAGATCTCTTCCAATTCTGTGATGTCATCATTTGGGCATTATAAATATTGAAATTTGATTGAGATATATTTTAAAATTTGAACACTGAAAATATCAACAGCAGAAAAATAAGTCATAGAAACACTGAACCGTGTTAATACCTGTCAAAGCTGGGAGTTAATAGAAATACATTTGGAGGTATGACTTTTCATATCTTTTCTTTTCCACTCTGAGGTTTCTTGGGTCCTCATTCATTTACCCAAGAAAGCTTAATTTAGAATTGGCCTGGTTCAGAGTCTTTAGGATTGGTTAGGAGAGTCTTAAGTGCCACTTAAATGCCACCTTCCATTTCCTGGGCAGGAGTGCCTGGGCTGGCACAGCCCCACAGCCCAGCAGGGCACGGTGGTTGTGGTGGAGCTGCAGAGGGGTTGCTGTTTCAGCCCCTGAAATTAGTGCCTAGAGAGCTGGAAATTCCAGTAGTCTCTGATCAGATGGTCCGGAACTGGAAATAACAGGAGTGAGAAGTTCATGAAAGAGAAGGCTACAATCCCAAGGGAAGTCCACACAAGTGCCCACACTGCTTTCGGCAGAAAGCATTACTACTCCAGCCCTCCCTGGTCTCTACCTCCAACCGGACCTGCCATCTTCTCCTGGCTCTCGATATTTCATATTAAATCATGTAGCCCCTATGTTTAGACCCAGAGAGAATACTGACCCTGTCCTCAACCCAACTCTTCCTGCTTCCTCTTTCCTCTTCCTCACCGTCTTTCTCTCTGTCTTTCTTTGTCACCTCCTCTCCTGAATAAAATATTTACATACCCCAGCAATTCTCACACACTTTTCGGAATGTCAGGCAAGGAGTAGTAAATATAAAGCAAAAATGCACAAACTGAATCTTTAGTTTCTACATTGCCAGAGAAGGGGATATAACTTTGCATAGCAGTTGTCAGTGTCTCATTCCCTAATAAGACCCCAGATAAATCCTACACCTCAGCAGGTAGAGCAGGCAGGTAGAGAGATTCAACCCCTTAAAAGCCACAGGAGACTTCTCTCCCAGGCCCTGACATCTGATGGTCACTCATTCAATGACTGCTCAGGTGCCTTGTGAAAGTGTGATGTTCAAGTAAAAGGGGAAAATATATATATATTACATGTCAGTACCCATAGTCAGTTTCTGCTGAAAGTACCTTTTCTTTTCGGAAGTAAAATAAATTATGAATCTCTAAATTGGTATTCAAAACTGACGTACAACCAGCTCTATCAGGAAACTAGCAGCTAGTTATTGCTGACACTGAGGCAAGGAGCTGAGACAAACAGGGGAGACTCTGATCATCTGATTGCCCAGGACTGAGCGGTCCAGTAAGAGGAAGGCTTGGGGTTATCTACATCACGATAAAGAGCTCCAGGAGAAGATTAACCTGAGTCAGTGTTTAAAAAGGGAACATCACTTAACTGACTTTCTTAACTATTTTGAGAGTGTTGGTACCAAGCAAAAGAGTGACAAAGGCAGGAAGTATATCCATTCCTACCAATCTTCAAGCTGTGCCTATACATTCAGGAAAGCAGGATAATCTATAATTATTTACATGACAATGGGAAACTGGTCAAACATTTTAGACTCCCTAGTCATATATCTTATGCTCCAACCGTGTCAATCCTCTTACCTTCTTCAAACCAGCCTGGCCTATTCACGACCCTAAGCTTTTGAATGCACTGTTATCTTCCCTTCTGAAATGCCCTTCTCCTCTCCAGGTTGTGGGGCGCTGTCACCTATTCTTCAAAACCAACCCAAATGTCATTTGTAATGCCTTTTTTTCAACAGACTCCCCTAAGTAGAGATAGAAACTTCTCCATGGAGGTGTCCCACAAAATTGATTTCTTTCCTCTGAGAGAATTCAGCACATTCTGTTATAACTAAGTGTGCACATGTCACCTCTCCCCACATCCCCCCTCCTCACGTTACCCCAGAACTTGAGTTTAATTGGAGCAGAGCCATTTCTTAGCTATCTTGTTGTCTTAGCACAAGTCTGACACATGGTAAGCGCTCAATAGATACTGAAGAATGAGTTGAGGTGCAGCTGAAGTCAAGTTAGAAATGAGGTTGGAGATACCACGGACCCAGCAAGTAAATTCACAAAAGTTCATGGAGCGGGGAGGCCTTGGGGAAAGCTCTCAGCTCTCCGCAGTGTATTAAACAATATCTAAGAGGTAAGTAAGTTGTTTGCTTGTGCTGTGAAATTTTGAAGACTATTGTACTCAGCAAAATGGGATGAACATTCTATAACTGTTTAGAAAAATAAAGGCAAAGAAACAACTCCTGAAGATGCTTCAAGGATAAGAAAAGAAAAACTTTACTAGCTGCAGTCTTAGATAAGGACTAATCCCGACTAGTGAATTCTGGGTTAACCCCAAGTTTCCAAAATTCAGGAATGGAACATTTAAGAGGAAAAACAAATCGATAACTGCAAGTGGAGCAGTGATGAGCACTTCACAAACAAAAAAGAATTGTAATCTCTAGTTTTCTGTCTTTTTAAAGAAGGCTTGCAAATGCTTCCATTCTGCATAATTAATGTAATGCCATGAAAAGCTACTACTTCTCACTTCCCATAGTTGACAAGATGGGGAGACGTCCGGGAAGGCTGATAAAAGCCCTGTTGTTACCACAGAGATTCTGGGAGCAGAGCTCTCTAACCCTGTGACTTCACACTTTGGACTTGAGTCTCAAGAGAAGCCTAAGACAATTTCACAAGAGATGAAATTTAAAATTTTTCAGAGAATGGAAAGTAAAACATCATCCTTGTCGAGGCAAGAACACTGAGGCAGACTCAACATGTGTTTATGAACATGGGAATGATGACTTATGCATATTTGGAGGAGGCAGAAATATATTTATTTTCCTTTGCAATTATCTCTAAGTATTTTCTAGGTACGGGGATTTCTGAGCCCTGACACACAAGCAGAAAAAAAAGACATCGAGAAGACAGCAAAACTACACCCCATTCTCCCACTGAGGTATGTGAGCTGAAAAACTGAAGCGAGGACCCCAAGGAGCTGAGTTATCTGCTGAGAGGCACAGGCCTGGCTCTCTATTTGGCTTAGCCGCTCTAACAAGCACTGAGGCAGAACTTGGGAGGAAAGACATCAGGCCTTGTATTCATAAATCCACCCTGGGAAGACGTAGCTAGCTGCAGACTGCTGGTTCATCAGAGGACACGAGGAGGAGCAGGTTTGACAGGAATGGCATTTGCGCTACTGACAGTTCTGTTGTGCTCTGTGCTGTTGCGAGGCTATAAGGGAAGCAGAACAAAGGGGCATTGATGCTTTTTTGGCACTGTCTGAATGAGAGAAAGTTGTGTAAGGGGCCAGCAGGCGGGTAGAATGAATGGCATCATTTAGAGCCAGAAGTCAAGCAGAAGGGATGGGGCAGGAACGTTTTCATTTCTATGTTCCATCCACACAGTCCCTAGGATTGTTTCCTATATACTTGGGAATTTGGTCAATATTAACCAAGAAGAAGGAAGAAACACACTTAGAAGCATGAAGTCCCATTGAGAAATATTGAACGTGAGTAGAGAGAGACAGAAAAAAAAATGGGGGAAGGCATGATCATTTTGAAAGTTGAGGTCAAATCTGTAAACTTTCAGCCCAATTGAAAAGCTGAATCCAGGCTTCTTGCTTTAGGATCTTAAAGCAGCCAAGATTGAGTCAGTGACTGCAGCAAATAAAAGTTTTCCTTTGCTTATTTGTTTGTTTGTTTTCTAATGGAAGGAAAGGGAAAAGATAAGGTCCAGAACATCAGGCATTGCTGAAATTCTATGTTATTAATGAACCAGGGATGTGAAAGGCAAGAAGCTTGTTAGTGGCTTCTGTGGAGGAGTCTGGGGCACTTGATGCTAGAAGGAAATGGAAAAGCTGCCAGTTAACAGCAGGAACATCTAAATCATCACACTTAAGAGGAGAACTGGAAAAACAAGACAGCATTTTACCCTCCACAGAAAAATAATAGTGAAAGAAAGCCTTCATTGAGTATATACACGGAATATCTTAAGTCAGGCTGCTAAATAAGTAGCTCCTGTTGATGAAGGCAAGAAGATAAACAGGCACTCATAATGGTCAGAAGGGCAGGGAGCATTGGCTGGGGGTTAGAGAGCACCTTCAATTCTAGATCACTAAATCTAACATATCCTGGGTAGTACAGACTCAGAAATGGCTGCCTGAGTGCCCCAGAGTCTGTGGCAGATACTAGGTTCTGCCTATTAAAATACAACACGGCATGGTGACCTAGATCATATCAAACAATCAACCCATATTTATTAAACATTCACCATGTGCAAGGTACATGCTCATCACTGTGAGGGGCATATGGAGGCATGCTTCTTCTCAAAGAATTTCCCGTGTATTTGGAGAAACAGGATCTAAACACAGAAAAAGATAACCAGCAGTGCAGTTCCCAGCATAGCACTGAATGGTCAAATGATAAATATTCTAGGGGTTGAAAAGAGGGCAAGATTGCCAGAATGTGAGGTGTTTAAATAACTGTTCAGAGACGGAAGTACATTTGAGCTGAAAGGGAGTTTACAAAGCAATACAAGGGCCGGCCCCATGGCATGGTGATCAAGTTTAGCAAGCTCTGAATCAGTGGCCCCGGTTTGCCAGTTTGACCTGGTTTGGATCCTGGGTGCAGACCGACACCACTTGCCACCCATGCTGTGGTAGCGTCCCACGTATAAAGTGGAGGAAGATTGGCACAGATGGTAGCCCAGTTCAGTGCAATATTATATTTGTGTCCAATACTGTGTACTCTGAGAAGCAGGTCTGTAGAAACCCTAATTCTGAGTGATTGACAATGTCATAAGTAAAAGGATGGAAAAATGTGAAAATAGTTGAGACTAAACATGCCTGCCCTACATGGTTCAAAGGGCATGTTTGCAAGGCAGGAAGACCCAACTCCAGAAATGGGAAGATGTTAGGATGGAAACAGGCATGGATGATGGTTCCCTCCAGACTGTTTAATGGGAAGATTATGTGTTGTACTCGGCTTCATAATGGAGGGAATCTAAAGGGCTTGCTGATGAAATGCTGATGGAAGTGCTCGGCTGCAGACCATTATTTACCTCCTTTGATTCACTAAAGTATAAATAATCAAAATGATACATAAATTTAATTGCCGGTGTCGTATAGTTATTTTTGAGGAACAGCCACAAATCTGAGATCTGGTATTTCACAAACAACTCAGGCTACCTACTCAGACTAAACACATAGTGTGTTTTCCAGGCTGTAATTTTATAAAAACAAAATGTCTTTAGAGAGAGAACAAGCTAGTACTATTGCTTTAAAAATCACTTTAGGAAAAGTTTCCTTAGTAAACTAAAATAAAACGTAGACAACCTAATCCATTTTGCTGGCTGGCCCTGATCCGCCCTGTTGTGCCATGTTATTACCTTCATTTCATTGACATCCCACACGATTGTCCTCCCTCCAATAGTCTCTGGGAGCAGATGAACTTCTCTCTCTTGTGGGCTATGTTTCCCCAAGAGCAGAGGTTTGTAGATGTTTGGGTTCTGGACTCCTTTATAACCGTAACAATTATTGAGACCCTAAAGACCTTTTGTTATGTGCATTGTATCAATTGATATTTAATGTATTGGAAATTAAACATATTTTATAAAATAGCTATGTTTCAAAACAAAATTTAGGGAGAAGAGTAGCATTGTTTCTTATTTTTGCAAATCTCTTTCATGTCTGGATTAACAGAATAAAGCTGGACAGGAGAAGGCCGGATGCAAATTGTAATATTTACATTTATGTTCAGCCTGCTGGGATATGCTATTTTAGTTGAAGCATATAAGAAAATCCAGCCTCATACAGATATGTAGAAAGAAAAGGGAAGAGTATTCTAATAGTCTTTTCAGAATTATGGATATTCTTCTATCTTTCTACTCAAACTCAACTAGCAGTAATTTCTTAAAGATTAGTTCCAGTGTGGAATCTGAAATATTAGCAATAAACTTTTCATATTCTGTTACATTAATACCCATTGATCTATCTTATATTTTGAATGGACCTTTTACTCAGGTATGATTTTATAAAATCATGCCTTGGTCACTTGCAGTTGTTATTATACAATATCTAAAAATCACATGCATCTATGAGATCTCAGTCTTATAGAAAAGTCTTAAAGTATTAGGAATCTTTCAAGCTCACGGTGGTGGATGTGTTTTTCTAAGTTTTGGATTTTGCTTTAAAAGTTGCATTTTATCATTGACAACAATGTCAGTTATTTTCCTTGAAGAGATAGGCTCACTTTGTTCATTTTTGAGAAAATGTGTACCAAATTCTGAATAACCATGGTTTGTCTACCAAACATGCTTTCAGATAAAAATGGTGTTCCATGGAAAACCCAGCTAGTTCAGCCTACAACCCAAATAATTGCATAAGTCCTTTCCCTGAAGATAATCACCACACTTTGATATGTAGCAGAAGTGATCTATGTGTACTTCCCATTAAAAAGATGTGTATTGAAGGGTCAAGACAATGAATTTAGTAATTTATGCTGTTTCAGCAAGGGCAATTTAAGTGAAACTGCTTTAAAAAATATATTTATTTATTTATTTATTTATGTGTTTATTTGTTTCTTTATTGTGAATATTTGGTGGTGAAGAATACAATGAACACTAGCACAGTTTGGAACCACAGCCTTGATTTGTGCTAAAGCACGGACAACATTACCCACTATTGTTTTTGCCCCATCAGTGCAAATGTAACACAGAGAAAAATGCAAATAATGTCTCTGTATTGTTATGAAAATAATTTTGACCTGCCAGGCACCCTAAAAGTGTCTCAAGGTTCTCAGGGGTCCAAGGAACAAAGTTCAAGGACTCCTGTCCTAGAGTACTTCAACTAATTTTATGAGCCAACACAATTAAGTGTAAAAGGGAGACTATCCAAATGGATAGCGATCATTAAAAACATCTTCTTCATAAGTGCTTTATAATAAAGCCAATGAGAATCTCAAGATACAGGAATGTTATATTCTCAAAACAAAACCGGTTTCCCTTGCCCCACAATTCTTGCCCATAACTCTTGATTACTTAAATTTATCTGTGCCTCTGATCTTACAACTGTACAATGGAAATAATAGAACCTATCTTATGGGAATGTTAGGAAGATGGGATAACTTCAAGTCAGGAGAGTACTTAGCATAGTGACTGGCACATAGTAAGTGTAAAATAAATGTTATTGGCTGTTATTTTTCTTTAATCCTTCATTAGCCTTAACTTCTCTCATTGTTGCTCAAAATGGGTATCTTCTCTTACGGACATTACAGACATTTCTTTTTTTCACAGTTGCAAGCTCTTCATTGAGGACATCTCTGACTCATGAGTGCAAAGCTCTTTACAATATTTTTCTGTGAAAAAAATATAACTGTGCTTCTCCTTCTAATAGTGTTCTCACATCACAATGCTGTTTGATAGTTTCTTCCTGACAGATTTTTAAAAATAAACTTAATACTGTCAAAGCAAAACTTGAAACAAAAAGCAAAGAGCGTATACAATTAGTAACTACTATATTTTATCTATAGGCAAAGGAGAAAGGGTGTTTCTCAGCCCTGGTTTTGTGTGACTGCTTACTCAGGATGATGAAGGTTATGGTGAAAGAGTTTGTGAGTTTTGTTATGCAGTTCAAGATTTTAATGGCTGAATGGCATAAAATATTACTTTTGACATGACTTGACATTTTCCTTTATTAGAAACTATTTTTAAATGGCTAAGGAACAACACCATTAGCAAAAATATTTAATTTTGCAGAATATTACTCTGGGGGCTGGCTGGCACAGGATGAGACATACTGCTCAGTACAAATTCCTCGGGCTGAATGAAGGCTTTGAATTTGAATGAATGTTCACATACTTCACAAAAATGTTGCCTTCCTTCTGGCACGGACTTTGAGAAATAATTCTGTCGATGTTTACACAGTTTTAGGAGAGCTCCATGGTTTATGATCAGATTAGCCTATTTTTCTGCTAGTGCATGGCTCCCAAGTCCACATGTGGAAATGTTTCTCCAAGAGCAGTAATAAGCCTGTGCTTCAGGAGTCCCTGCGTCATGAATAATCAAAAGTCTACTAAAGGCAATCAGTTTGAAAGATACTAGATTTGAGATGGGATCTTAGACGATAGGGAGAAAGACTTGGGTTCTTATACTTAAACAATATTTGAAAAATAAATCCCCCCTACCCTACTCCTCTGAAGACCAATAAAACACCTATTTGAGTTTTAGGCAGCAACTGCCGTACTAAAAAGGAAAAGTAGATTGGGTTAGTGCAAAATGTGGCTAAGCCAACTTCTGTGTCTCTGCTACTTGCTTCTGAGCTGCTATTGGCCTTGAAATGGGGCAAAACTGAGTCAATGGAAAGATCCCCAGAGGCTGAGTACCTGTGGTCACATATGAGCATGATGTGTTATCCAATCAGTTAATGAATGTTGAGCCAATGAGGAATACCTTTGATAGAACAATACGATGACGAGCTAAAAACATCATGGATGTCAATGGCTAGCAGATAATGATGGGAACACATCTATGTAAACAGAGCCTGTCAATCACAAAGTCTTAATATTCACTCGGCTGTGATCAATGCTCTTACATACTCATCACCAGATGATAATGTTCATTTCAACAACATTGCTTTGTGCAGATTATGAGGCAAAGGGGGAGCCGCCACAAGAAGTAACAAATACTAAAGGAAGTATGACCCACTGGTAGGGTGCTCTTGGCTAGGAAAGAAAGGGCGGTCTGCCCCATGGCCGAGAGGTTAAGTTGGCACTCTCCACTTGGGCTGTCCAGGCTTTTGCCAGTTCAGATCCTAGGCGCAGACCTAGCATCGCTCATCAAGCCATGATGAGGTGGCATCCCCACATAACAGAGCCAGAAGGACCTACAACTATAACTACAACTATGTACTGCGGGGCTTTGGGGAGAAGAAGAGAAAAAAGAAGAATATGAAGCTTTGCCACCCACCTTAGAAGCAGCAACAACATGTCTTCAAATATATACATGAAGACAAGTAAGTAAGCAGATGAGTTGACAAAGGGATCACAAATAATCCACCAGTAGAAAACCCAGGCATCTTCTGCAACTTGTATAGGTACTGTAATGAATAATTCGCTTTCTTTTTTAGTTTTTACAGCCCCTTGAGCTCAACTTAATCCTTGCGTAAAGTGACAGCTGGAAGTAGTATTTCACTTTTATAACTTTCAGAACATTTCTTGCAGTCAAGTATTTGGTTTTGTGCCCATGTTTGTTTTTGCACCTCCTTGTGCTACACAGCAACCCTGCCTTCTCCAAGCCAAGGCCAGACAGAGTCTGGGAGGCGAGTTCCAAATGGCTGACAGTGCCAGTTTCCAGATATAAGAAGGCATCTCTCCTCTGTGTCTCTCTTTTCTTTCCTGATGATAGGGAGAGTGATCTTTCTGCAATGTGATATTTGAAATTATGCCTAGCTTTCGCTAACGATAAGCAAGCTGCTAGCCCTGAAAGAACTGGGAGGACACAGGATTCAAGAGCCCAGGAAGTGTTGAGAGGCTTGTTCTTCACCCACTTGTATGGTTCTGGTAAGAGCTGACCACCCTCAATCACCCTTTCTCCATTTCCAGGAGCTGGGTATTCCAGTGAGGCAAAAAAAAAAAAAAAAAAAAAAAATGCAAAAGTAAAATAAAATAGTTGAGGATAATTGATCAAATAAAAGAAGTGGTTAGACTTTCCAGTAAAGAGAGTAAGAAAGAAAACCAAAGACCCATTAGGCTAAGAGTCTTAGGCTGTGTCATAAATGTCAAAATTAAGGTAATATTAATTTTAAAAAAACAGTTGAAGACTCTGTTAAGATTACAGTTTAAAGCTTAAATGTTTACCTCTTCAAAATAAGTTGGCTTCCCTTCTGTTGAATTTACAAAGTATTTAATAACTATGCTTTTGACACTTTATACTGGCATTAAACATAGTAGATGTGAGTTACACTGAGAATTGTGAAAAGTTAATTTCATGAAAACCAAAAGCCATAGTCCTACTGCTTCTCATTTCCTCCCCATTCTTACCATCAACAACAGACTTTACACCATCTCTGATAAATTTCAAATGCCTACTTCCTCCATTCTAATTACCCTCTGCAAGTATCATTTGGATATCATCCCCCTCTTAAATGTCTATAATGGCTTGCAAAAGTTCATCAGTGAAAAGCAAAGCTCATAATCATGGGTCTTCCAGATCCACCAGCTGTTAATTCATTCCTCAAACATTTATTTCATGCTGAATGCATGTCTGGCATTTGAGAGGTGTGGGGAATATAGAGATAAAAGACGGGCTTATAGTGTTGAGTGACACACAGTTTTGGAGGAGAAACCGATATGTGAATGGCCTCCCACCAATCAGTGTTATAAGTGCCATGGGACCATGCTGACAAGATCTCCAAATCCCAGAGGTGAAGAATATGGAAGACCTTCTGGGAGAGATGATGATTAGGTTGCTTTTAAAATAGAAAGTAGACTTTATCCAGGTGAATAAAGTCCATGTCCAGAGGACAGCATGTACAAAGGCACAGAGGTAAGAAAGAATATGGTTCAAGGAACCAAGAGAGGAACAGCATGGCTGGAGTGTTAAGCATATGTGGCAGGTGATGAAACCAGTCAGCAATAAGGTAGGGGACAGCTCACTAAAAGCCCTGGAAAGAGTCCAGATATTAACTCTAATGTAATGAGGTGACATCAAAGATTTTAAGTAAGAGGACAAAAGCATGACAATTTTGGTATTTTATAAAGATTTCTCCAAAAGTTCCATGAAGAATGGATTGATGTAGGGAGACTAATCCAGAAGCTATTAAGGAACCTAGTAGATAAATAACGAGGACATGGATTATAGCATTGACTATAGAGAGGAGAATGTGGAAAGAAAGATATGAGAAAATGAAATTTAGAAGCAGAACTAATCACAAATTGTAATGGGGACCTATCATTGAAGGAGAAAGAGAAATCAAATAAGATTCTCAGTTAATGATTTTGTGACTTTGCAGAATGACCAGGTCCGGGAGGAGAGACTCAATTGTGAGCATGTTGCTTTTGAATGATCATTGTATGTACAAGTCTATGCTGTAGGGAATGTACCTATGCAGGAGGTACACATTTAGGAGTCATCAGCATATTAGTTACATACATATTAATTAAAAACTGGGAGAATTGATGAGATTTATTTGGGTTTTATACGTAAAACATATGATGAATGATCTAAAAGGTATGTCAAATGAGTGATGTCACAGAAGCCAGAGGAGAAAAGAGTTTAACAAAGAAGTAGTCAGGCGTATTAAATACAGCAAAGGCGTGCAGTAAGATAAAGCCTGAAACCATCCTTGTACATGGCAGCTCTGTGACCTTTCCACAATAGCTTCTTTCAAATGTTAGGGGTAGAAATCAGAGTTCAGGGAGTTGAGGAGGGAAAGAAAGTCCAGGCATGGAGAAAATATAATATTTGAGTTACCTAGGATGAACTAAGTCATGCTGCAGGAACAAGCAACTCTCCAATTTCAGGGACTTAACACAACATAGGTTTATTTTTCATTGTGCTACATGTCCAATGCAGGTCTTCAGGGGACTCTGCTCAACACAGGAGGCTCCACGCAACACATGCATTTACAATTGTTGCAACAAGAGAAAGAGAACTGCTGTGTCTCACATGGCAACTAAGCGCTTTCTCCTAGAAGCAATACATGACACTTCACTCTTTATTTCACTGGCCAAGCCAAGTCACATGACTACACAAGGCAGAGAAGTACAATGCTACCATGTGTCCAAAAAGAGGAGGACTAGCATATCTGTGTACAGTCTTCAAGAAGGGATTAGGGTGGCACTAGCTACAAAGGGTTGTTAAGTTTGAGGAGAGATTTTTGTTTGGTTGGTTTTTAAGATGAAACAGACAATGGCACTGGTGAAATGAACTTGCATAGCTTATACTTTGTGCTCTCAACCCACCCAATAAACACCATTCGTGTCTAACTTCTCTGCAGGAATATCCTTCCTACTATACTGTATTGGATATACCTTCAAAACTCTGCTCAAGAATCACTTCATGCATGAAGCTGTCCCTTGATGAGGATACTTGGCCACTTGTGTCCAATTTTATTTGGGTAAGTAGATTTCCTCATGTTTTCATTGTTCACTTATTTATATCTTTTTCACATGTTTGGAAGTCCTTTCCCTAACCCTCGAAAAGGCCTTTGTTTCCTTTCTTTCCATGGGGTAGCTAGCCACAAGGTAGATACTCAATCCATGATGTTGGCTAAACAATTGGTTTCTCCATGGCCAGAGAAGACTTTTCTGCAAAGTTCTTTGGATCTGACCACCCCTGAGCACATAGAGTTATTTATACAATGGTTTATGAAGAAAACTGCTGCTTGTGTTTTTCCATGGCTGAAGAGGCAGGAAATTGAGCAGCAGTGGCCTAACTCATGGAAACTCCACCCCATGTACTGGCACCATGGTAATTTTGCTTAGTCTGCTTTCTGGGACTTGCTCAAACCTGTTAAGTTCTCACTTTAAAAACTTGCAGATGCATCCACCGAATATTTATGCACTCACATTCATATGCAAAGAAGTTGGTACTGAGATGAGACACCTCATCAAGAAGGCTTACAACTGACTTGTGACAGATTTATTCAGATTTGCCTTCATTCTCTCTTCTGGTCCTCCAGGATCATGGCCATACACGTGCAGGGATCCTCTCTGGGTTCAGAGCACAGTCTGGTCTGTGGGACCTGTGTACTGACTGGCATTCACACATGAAAACCACAGCCTAGGCCTCATTAGCACAATCTAATCTACTGAGCTGAACAACCACAAATATGCAAACTCAAGAGGACTTTGGACGGCAAACAGGTGCACATGCATTTTGGTAAGGATTTCCATTATGCTTAGAGCTGAAAATTTAGATTCAGTCATTAAATTTTTGAGCTGGAGGAGTCACAGAAACCACCTACACACAAAGTAAATAGGTCACTACAAAACCCAGACAGACCGTAAGAGGCTTTTTAAAGAAAAGGGAAAATTTGTGAAGAAATGTGTTTAATCGGAAGATGAGTTAGACAGCAAAGACAGTGTATGATTAGGGAAAAGCTCAGCAACAGCTATTTGGGTGTGTCCTGAGGACAAGTATCTATTGTGATCCAGTGAAGCTACTAAATATCTTTTCCACAGAGGTGAGAAAACGCAATTTTTGGTTCTGCTAATTTCAATTCTTGATTCAGGGCAGCAGAAATACTAAAGAAGCCTTGCAGCCAAATTGTAATCATAAATAATTTTCCTCTCAAGTGAGTTAACTCCAGTTGGCACTTATCAGCTTGCAGGTCAGCAAGCTGTTTTTATAATGAGCCATAAAAGGGGAAAGTGTAGTCTAGACTGGCAGTCAGAAATCCTGCTGCTTTCTCTCAGCAACTCAGCCGAGTCTGACTCTGGGTAACTGGCCCAAACTGATAATACCAGCTCCCTGACACATTAGGTGGGGACAGGATCTTACCTTTAAAGTGGTGTGCAATGTTGTAACAATGGGCAATGTGTACTTCAGGGCTGGGTGGTCTGGGCCACTGAGGGGTTCCCAGCACAATCGCTGGAGCCTCCCTCCCTATCTCTACCTCTACTCACTAAGCACACATCTCTTTTTATTCTTTTTTTCCCCTCCACTCCCACTTGTTCCTATTCTCAATTTTTCTCCATTCTGATACATTTTAGTCGTGCTACTGGTACGCACTACCAAGCTTCATGGAAGGGTTGAAGAGGCTACTGTTACATTATTTAGTGAAGATGCTGCTGAAATGGAAGCTCTGTGAGGACAAAAATCATGTCTGCCTTGCGCATAGTAGGCACTTAATATATATAGACATATAGTGTTCATTATGTTTTCAGTAGCTGAAACACATTTCTCTTAAGTTTTCTGTTGACAATATGTGTGAACATTGTCCAGGTGCTATATCCTATCCCCATTCCCCAAAAATCCTAAAGCACAAGGAGCGGAAATCTGCTTGCTATGGATGAATGTTTGTATACTCTCAAATTTCATAGGTTGAAATCTAATGCCCAACGTGATGGTATTTGCAGGTGGTGCCTTGGCCACCCCGTCTATGGTACTTTGTTACAACAGCCCAAACAGACTAAGACACTGTTTATGGAGTATCAAGTCTCTGAATATTTCCAGCCAGCTTCTCAATCAGTGGTTCTATTTTAGCAAAATCAAGAGAATAGAAATGAAAATAGAATCAGGAAATGGTTTGGATGTCCCAAACTCCTTCACTCATTTAGAACCAAACTTCACAGAATTTTAGAAACTCATGTTGTCACTGTTGTCTTTCTAACATTTTCCCCAGCAGCTAAAAATCTCATGCCATTTAAAAAAAAGGGGGGTGGGGTGTAATTACAATGTGAAGTCTGTAAGAAACTCTGAGGAATGTGAGCCTTTTATCAGAGAGGTGCTGGGTTACAGCTCCGCAGCCTTGTTGAAAGAAGGTAGGTCTACACCGTAATAGAAGGAAGCAGACAATGTTTAGCACTTCTGGTGTATTAACAAGGGGAAATATTTTCCTATTTTACTCTTCCAGTTCCTAATGTCCTCACCCGTCCCTCCAATCTATTGACTGGAAACCACTTACTAAGCACTACTGTGGCCAGTGAAACCCTCCAACCCAATATTTAATTTGTTTATTCCATGACACACTTTAAACTTAGAGACTAACATAGTAAAATCACCTACTGTAAACTCAGACTGTGATTTTAAATTTGAGGCTATCTTTGCCAAGCCCAACAGAAATTTCAGAATAAATCATCATTAGGACAACCAGCATTCTACCCTCCAAATCATCTTTAGGAAAACCAGCATTCTACAGTCTTGCTGTTCTTTGAAAACAGAAACACAAACTCCTTTTATCCAGGAGGGTCTTTGCAGATATACGCCATCCTACAATTTGAATCTAAGTAGAAGAAAATGACTTAGGAAATACAAAGATCTACACTGTCTTATAGTCCAACCAGGTGAAACTGAATCTCCCACCATGTACCAATGGGATGACAAAATATTTTAGCTTAATATCACAACCTGATTTTGTGACGTACTTTTTGGGTATTACATATTAACACAGGTGGTCCAATGGTGCTTTTTCCAGTTCCTGTGTTACCCAGGTATGCCCATCAGAGCCTGGCCCTCAGGGTGAGAAGTTAGTGTTTTCCAAAAAAAGAGAGCCCAACAAAATGATGTTGTGATAACTTCACCCAGTCCCAACATGCCCTCTGTTCAACATTAGATAAACCTTTTAAATCGAGAAATGTAAATGGCCACCTCATATTTTTGCATATTCAGGAATCTCTGAGCCAAAACCCAAGAGCCAAAATTACAAGGCAAAAAATAACCCTTTGTGCAATAACATGAGACCAAATTTTATCTCCTTCAGGCATTATAATTTGAAGAGGAAAAAAACCTAGAAAAGTATTGTAATACTCTAATCCACAGATAAAACATCACCTAAATCATTAGACTTTTCATAAGTAGACATAATATACCCTGAACAATATAATTTTTTAAAAGAATTCTTTTTAGGAAAACAGCTAAACTGATTATTCTGTTTTGCACCCAAACCATTCACTGTGATAAAGACTATGGAATAGCCACTTTCTATTTTTTTAAAAAGTGAGTTCTCTGATTTGGGCAACCTGAAAAATCCCACCTCTCTCTCTTTCTCCTAAATAAATATATTTGCTTATTCTTTTAAAGACTAAAAAACTAAGGGGCTGGCCCCGTGGCCAAGTGGTTAAGTCTGTGCTCTCCGCTGCAGGCGGCCCAGTGTTTCGTTGGTTCGAATCCTGGGCACGGACATGGCACTGCTCATCAAACCACGCTGAGGCAGCATTCCACATGCTACAACTAGAAGGACCCACAACGAAGAATATACAACTATGTACTGGGGGGCTGTGGGGAGAAAAAGGAAAAAATAAAAAAATCTTAAAAAAAAAAAAAGACTAAAAAACTGACATTTTCACTATTAAAACACTTTTTTTTTTTTTTTTTTTTTGCTAAGGAAGATTCACCCTGAGCTAACATCTGTGCCAATCTTCCTCTATTCTGCATGTGGGTCACCACCACAGCATGGCCACTGATGAGTGATGTAGGTCTGCACCTGGGAACCAAACCAAGGCTGCTGAAGTGGAGCACACTGAAGTTAACCACTGGGCCATCGGGTCGGCCCCTAAAACACTTTTGTTATGATTAGTATATGGAATAAAGCACATGCAAAATTGGTTTGAAAATTTTCAGAAAAAATTATATCTGAGTGGTATACTTTTCAAGGAAAGGGAGAATAATTTAAAGCAGCTTAGACTCACTTGCCTATTAAAGATAACCCCATTGAATTTTTAAAATTCTACAAAATCATGACACCAAATTATTAATCAAAGTTTATCAACAGCCACATGTAGTTCATGGCAACATCCTGGTCTATCCTAGACAAGCTTGTAGTTTCAAAACAATCAACAGTAAGGGATGAAGGAGACTGTAATTGCCATTAACCACAGTGAACACTGTGAAACTTTCGTCCACGTCAAGGCAAGGCATGTGATGGCAGCTGAAAGAGCAAGAAGGAAATTACTAGTTGTGAAAGGCTTAATACGAATTACGAACATTCTCAAAAAGTAATCTTCACACCAAACTTTAAAATACATACATATTATTATCCCCATGCAAAATAGGAGGACATTAAAGCTCAAAGACATAAATAATTTGTCTGTCAGTGAGTGGTCAGCAGGGCCTTAATGTCCGTGCACTCTGAACTGTACCACACAGCCTCACCATTATAGGTCTCATCTGTGTTTCTGAGCCCACCCTGCCAACACCAATGGCTCTGTTAGCAGTACTCACATGCTGCAGAAGAGCTCAGTGAGTTTGCATCCAGATCCTGAAGCTCAGCTTTGCACATGTGAGTAATAAAGCTAGCCAGAGGCAAAACTGGGAAGTTGGCAGACATGGTCTTTACTGCCTCCACCCTCCTTCCCCTGAGGCACCCTGATGCCTTGCAGACGTCTGGCCCCTTCAGCTGCCGGAGCACTGAAATGGAGCGCCCCCTCCAGCCTCGCCTTCTCCTACCGAACTGCAGAATGCCCTGAGTTTCAATCACCTGAGTGCCCGCCTCACCACACTCTCCACCAGATTGTGAACTCCTGAAGGACACAGAGAGCATCTCCTTTCCCTGTCTTCTGTGGTACTTACCCCAGCATGGCTGCTCTGTGAATATTTGTAGAAAAAACTTATGAACGTGTCACAACACTAATCAAAATATTCTAGCCCTGCATTTCCACCCTACCATTCTCCAATCTTTGCTTCTTAAGTTGACAAACAACTAATAATATGCTCTGTTAACTTGTTAAGAAATGACTCACTGCTTGACCCAGTCAGATCCTCTGTATCAGCATGGTTGTGTGTGTGTATGAGTTTAGAAGACTAAATTCTCAGTCTTTGCAGTATATCCCCTGGTTACTGTAAACTTGGGCATTTTGACACAGTTTATTAGAGAGGGCACTATCTCAGTAAGATCGACCATGGAACAATAACGATGTCTAGGGGCACAGCCAACATGCCAACGCCTAGGGTGGTCTGGTTAACAACTGTCGGAAACAACAGGCAGAAAGCAGAGTAAATGCTAATACTACACACTTTACATGTTATTTAATCCTCACAACATTCTTTGAAGCAAGTACCATTCCAATTTTAGTGAAGAAAAAACATGAGGCCCAGAGAAGTTATGTATTTTGCCAAGCCCAAACGTGGAGTTAATGGTAGAGCTAGGATTCCGATTTGGCCTGGCTATAGCTCTCTCTTCCTCCGCCTGAATCCCCTGGTCCTCAAAGTTATTGTCCAAGCAGCAGCTGGAGGACTGAAGATTTAATCTACTCCAGAGAAGTTTACTGTGAGGACTAGAGCCCTCAACCCTCTTTTCGTATGACCGGAGAAATCCTGGGGTAGAGAATAAACAAAACCCATTTGGGGCACAATTGCAAAACTCTTGGCAAGGAACCCACCTGACACCCCACCAAAAGCACCCCTTCCTTTTCCATAGAGGTCCTTGCCTGTGGGAACCTCAAGGCTTTTCCCAAAACTGCTCCAGCCAGGTAGCCCTAAGAAACCCTCCCAGTGAGGACCTGGGGGGTTTCTATAGCAATAATCTCAGGAAAGACCCTATTTAATAGGAAATTTCTTTAATACCCCCTCAAGATATTTCTATTCTATCTAAATGTCACAGCATAAAAGTAAAAATTCAACACAATCTTATGGATGATTAAATGGAGACAGTGGAAAGAATGAAAAACTGAAAGACAGGAGAAGGACCTACGTCTTGCCTCCAACACCAACTATGAAATCTTGGGTCATTCCCTAATCATGCGAAACCTCAGTTTTCTCAGCAAGAAGACTGTGATGATGGCACCTAGGTTTTTGTGTTTCTTTTTTAAAGATTGGCACCTGAGCTAACACCTGTTGCCAATCTTTTTTCTTCTTCTTCTCCCCAAAGCTCCCCAGTACATAGTTATAGATTCTAGGATCCCAACCAGCAAAACCATGGGCCGTGGAAGCACAGTGCATGAACCTAACCATTCAGCCATGGGGTGGGCCCAGCACCTAGTTTTTAAGATGCTTGTGAAAATTATATGATAATGTATATAAAACAGATAGTAGAGGTTCAATGAATTATGGCTCTTATGTTGGAAACTCCTATATTTTAAAAAGAGGTTGTTATTGTTCAAAGAAATCTGTGAATACTAAAAGCCAGCCTGAGCTTCACTCAGAGGAATTCATACTAAAAGGGCCTCAGTTATTTCCTGGTAATCAAAATGTAGTCGGAGCC